AGGTCTTAAGATCCCGTTGGCTTCTGTGTTCATCTGCACTGCTCGAAATTGCACAACGGATAAACGTCTTTAGTGGCCTTTGTATGCCGTTAATAAGCCCTGTGTTTCTGACACTCCCATCTAATCTCTCTGCTACTTTTTTCATTTTCATTGTTTCTGCATAATACGGTTGTATACCTACGCGTTGCCTCAGTCCAAATGGTTCCTTATGCATCCCATATGTGCATAGAAAGTTGTCCCGTTTCTCGACTAGTCATCTTGCATCTCTCTCACTTGCCTCAGTTTTTACCAGCATGTTTACTCTGCGTCAGTGCTTCTCATCAGACTTTTGTTCGGTCTGAGCACTCAACACCATTTGTGTCTTCTGTCGCCCTTACAGACCACTTTGTGTTCGTCATCTGACGTAAGTGACTCGCGTAATCTGTTCCCTACTCGTTGGAAAATACCCAGTTGCTCAAAGTCTCCACACACACGTTTACGTGTGAACACTGTTTTAACCGATGTTGCTGTTAAATCGACCGCTTCAGCTTGTTCCAACAATAGAGTTGCTGGCAACACAGGAGCCTTCATTGGCGACGCCCTTCCGAGTAAGTTATCAAGCGTTTGATTGTTTCTTTCTCGTCCCTTGTCGCCTATGTGCTTTCATCTAGTGGGTGGAAGCCACTACGCAGTCTTGCCGGGCCGTAGACTTAAGGACCACGAGCCTACTTTGTAATCCAAGGGAGCGGGTTCGAGCCTGCGTAGGGACCGGGCGACCCTCGCAGTATCTAGCCGGCGTGCGATTGATGGTGGTTGCGCGGCAATGAAGCGTCAGTACTTCGTACCGACGTACTGCTGATGTCTACTACGGTCCTACCGTGAGGCAATTGCTGCATACCGATGATTTAAAACGGAGTTTGCGCATCTTTCACTTTTTCACTGATCACTATTTATTTGTGGGTCCCCTATTTGCGACTTCTCAGTACAAGTTGACACCGCGCTAGTGAGGCGAAATAGGGAGTTTACTTATGAATGAACTGACCGAATACCTGTGAATTTAGTTTTCTCTATAGCCGTCTACACCACATCATACCGGTAGGTTATTTATCTTCATTCAGATGACAGTTATCGTACTTTTTCATTGTCCCATGTATGCCGGTTACTGCCATTTTTGACCTCTGTGTTCCCCCATTTTTGTTTCTTGTGTATGTGGAAATGGCTGATTGTCCACTCAGCTTTTGCCCAAGCAAGCAGTTACTCTACTCAACCTCTCCCGGCAGCTACATTAGAGCCAATCACGCCAACAAGTTTCGATTTTTTGTTTCTTGTGCCCACTTAGGCAATGAAATTCCATGGAGCACCTCGTAATTTATGTTGCTAGTCAGATTCTAGAGTCTACTTAAGCGACACTGCAAGAGAACGTTTGAACTCGACCTCATTGCCGTCATTCATGTGACATTTCCTTGAGTTCGTTTTTCTCGGTTTGACCAGGTGACCTCAATGCATTTAGTTAAAGAACTAGTTTCTCATCGTCTGCATTGTGCATTTCCCCCACGATTCTATCGTTGTGAGGTTACTCCTTTCAGGTTCTCAATCAGTGCCTGGGAGAAGACCTAGTGCATCAGAAGTACGGCGGTACACCGTATCAACGCTTTGCTGCCACTCGACCACCACCAGTCGCGCGTGTGGTGTGAATGCTGCGAAGTCGCCCGCACATACGCGGATTAGAACTGGCGATCTCGGGATTACAACGCAAGCGCGCAATTCTTTCGGCAACCGGCCGACTACGCTTACGTTTGCTAAGCCGTTGGTTACCCTCCTTGACATGCACTATATTCTGTCGCTACACCTAGTTGAGCGAAACCGCAAAATGGCCAGTCGATGACTTAGCACAAAACCATGTAGAAATTAGCAAACAGCTTCGGTCAGGCTGGTGCGTGACTGTGTATGGGGGCCACAAGATTGACCACCTTTCTAACTGTAAACCATATCAGATATGGCGCATTGGCAGAGCCATTGGGGCTCCTGCTTTCGGTTTCTTGAACTCACTTCTTCTACCCCTTTTTCTATTCTTCCTGCATCCTATCTCATCTTCCTCGTCACTGGTACTTGTTGTTATCCTGGCGATTCGATTCGTGGTAACTTGATCCACGACATTTCGATACATAGATAATAGTCGTTTGAACTTAACTGAGCTACCCGAAGATTCTTGGGCTTATTATCAAGTTCTCAGACATTGATCTTGCGCTGCAGTTTTATCAAATCTCAGTACTCGTATTCGTTGTTCACAACAGTGGTGCGCACCAAGCAGATGGCACAGAATCACAAATTCGACACCATTCAAAACCCTCAACCCTGAAGGGAAGAAGATAAGACCTCAGACACGAGATCTGTTAACACGCCAACACGAAACAGACCGGAAAGTAATGGAAACTCATGATTGGTTTAGACCATTCAACGGCGTTGCCAAATCAGCCAATAAAAGCGCTCGTTTGAAGCGGGAACAGATGGCGTGCATCGTTTAACAATGAAAAATGGTGGCCATGGTTTTGGCTGGTTCTTGGGGAAAATAGCCTATTCCCAACACCCCTGTTAAGAAAGCTCGTACCTAGGACGTCGGGGATCCAGTTGCAAGGACCTTGTTGGATGGCGCTTCCGGTCGGTTCATCTTCTGGGTTGCAAAGAGACCCGTTCGGGCGGTGCATTAGATGTCTCTGTCAACGGGTTTGGGATGAGCCTGAACGTGTTTAGCAGTATTTCTAGCGGCGATTCTTCCTCAGTGGCTGTGTGGTCGTCATGGCATGGGTGAAGTTGCTTCTTGTGTCTTGCCCACTTGTACGATCCAACCGTCACTTCATACATTACAGAACCACTACGATCAGCTGTCACTGCTGCGACCCATGCTGTATGACCTTGCCTGTACTCACGATCGTTGACCAAATCACCAATTGCGAATGTTTTCCCTACTGTGTGCACTGGGACGGGTGACGATTTCTCCGACGGCAGCATTGCATCAAAGATGGTGCGTGGTTTACTGCCCATAAGGCATTCGGCAAGGGGGGATCCATTTGGTGTTGCCGGAGTCGGTGTGTTCCTGTAAATCATGAGGAAATCCTGAATCCTTTCATCAGTAGTACCCTCCCCACGCGTTTTCAAGTGAGCCGGTTTAAAAGTGTCCACGAATTGTTCAACCTGACAGTTTGATTAAGGGGGGTACGGTAGGGTGCGAACGTGTTTAATAACACTCCGACGGCAGAAATCATGGAAAAGTGCCGATGTAACTTGGGTTGCATTATCTGTAACTAAGGTATCTGGAAAGCCATGCTGGCTAAAAATTCTGCCAAGGGCATATATGGTGGACGATGTTGTCTCATGTGACAGAGTAATTATTTCGGGCCACTTGGACGTTGCGTCGATTACAAGGAAATGCTTAATGCCGTTTATTGGACCAGCAAAATCAACGTGTATGCGAGACAACGGTTTATCAGGTTGGGTCCACGGTCGTGGAGCGACATGCGGAGGGTTCTTGTTTGCCTGTCGGCAGCGGGGACACCGTTGAACCAACGTCCCTATTTGCTGGTCCGTACCTGGCCAGTAAACGTAGCTTCGGACGATAGCTTTCATTCGTCCCGCACCAGGATGGGTGGAGGAAAATTGACATAACACGGTCGGTCAATGCGAAGAGGGGATGCTAATGCGACCGGCGAACATTAAACCGGAATCAAGTAAGAACAAGCTTGTGCGACGGAGTAAAGCTGTCGTAGGTCTTCAGTTGGTGCTCTTTGGGGCCTCGGTTGCGGTCACAATTAATTGCTTCCCGGAGAACTGGATCAATGCTTGTTTCTTTTTTGATATCACGGCGAGTGACCGGAATCGCCCGAACAGCGTCTGCCAGTTACGACCAAACATCCGATTCCATGGAGACTGCTGCGATAATGGTATCTTCCTGTTCCTGTCGATTTACACCGATTAACCGAGAGAAGAGGTCGGCTTGACCGAAAGCTTGCGTTTGCCGATACCAGATGTCAGAGTCATAGTTCAGTAGGAAGGTTGCCCTACGCTGCAATCTGCTGGTGGAATTATGTCGGGATACCGCTCATAGAACCAGAAATAGCGACTAACGGCTTATGATCGGTCAGCAAGCGGAAGTGATGACCATAGACCATCTTATGGAGCTTTTTCGCGACAAATACTAATGCTAAAGCCTCGTTTTTGATTTGAGCATAATGCTTCTCGGCTGGTATAAGGTTTGGAGATGCATGCATGGCCGCCTTCTCCGATCCATCTGGAGACACATGGGAGATGACGACATCGAAGCCGTAACTGGCAGCGTCTGCAGCGACTACGATCTGTAGGTTGGGAGCAAACTATGTTAGGAGGAGTTCGGAACCTAACATCGCGTTCACACGTGACCACGACCAAACGTTGTCCTTTTTAAGCATTTTACATACTGGTGCTCTGGCATTGTGAACGATGGGTAAGAACGCGCCGTAGTGAGCCACTAGACCGAGAAACGACCATAGAGGCGACGCATCCTTTGGAGCGGACATTTCCCGGATTACACGCACCTTCTCAAGGTCAGGGCGTTGTGCATTTTTCTCGATGATGAAACCAAGGTATTTGTTTTCTGATTGGAAGAACTGACATTTGTCCATTTGCAGGCGGAACCCGTATTTCTAAGCTCAACTTAACACCTCCGTTATCTTTCCGTGGATCTCGTTAGTAGTGCGACCCATTGTAATGATACCATCCCGGTACACTGTCGCGCACGTTGCACCCGAGATCATGGAATCCATTATCTGTTAACAAATAGCAGGAGCCGACTGGACGCCGATAGGTTGCTGCTTGTACTGAAACAAGCCGCGATGCGTTTTTATGTTTAACAGCTCTCGATACTCCGGGGATACTTCGACTTGCAGATAAGCGTCAGCTAAATCCAGCTTGGGGAAATACGTTCCTCCGTTAAGCATGTTGAAGATGTTCTCAGGAATCGGTAGTGGGTGACTGGTCTTCCAAAGAAGCATTTAATCCGTTGGAAAAATCAACACATGCTAACTGAACCACTTGCTTTTTTGACATCCGCAATTGGCACTGCCTATGGAGAATAAGACATTGGGGATAGAACGCCCAGTTCTTCGTGGCGGTGTAGTTCCTGATCTACCAACGGGAGCGTAGCATAGGGTACTGGTCTCTTTAGTCGAAACGACGGAACACGACCAGGCTTTAACCGAAAATTTACTTGTGTCTGTGTGCAACAACCAAGACCCTCGCGAAAGACCGTAGGGGAATCATGAACAATAGACTTTGCCAATGTGGCTTCAAATCGGCGGCAGAGAGCGTTTAGTGGGAGAGTGGCAAGACCCAGCTTGTCAATCCAATCTAGACTAAGGATATTGAGATTGGAGTTTGGAATATAAAAAATATCATTGATTGTAGTGTCAACGTAGGTGACAGAGCAAGAAAACTGACCGGTAAGATGAACCGAACCACCACAGGCACTGCTTGCTTTCTGAGAAGTAACTTGAAATGGTGGGCTACCTATGGAACACCATAGCTCATTAGAAATTATCGCGATGTCGAATGCGGTGTCTACTTGAAGATTGGCAAG